CACTTCTCCACTGGTGAGCCAGGAGTACGAGCGGCAGTCTCTGCCTACCCCCTTGAGGCCTAGCCTTCCTCCAGAGTGCTCTGGTTTGCTCCATGCATTTCTCAGGGGTCCACATTTCTCATGCTTTCCTCTAAGGTCTATACTCCACTTCAGAGAAGGATCCTGGCCCACTGCTGGCAGCTAGGAGACAGGCTGCTCATTCAGTGGGGCTGAAACTCTAGATTTGAGCCTCATCCATCCCCCAGGACAGCTGCCTCATCTCACAGATCAGGTCTGGACTGACTAAGGCCAGCAGAGCAAGGGCTGAGGGAGACCACTCTGCAGCACCTCTGGGCAGCCAGGGCCAGGTCTGTGTGGGGAGGGCTTAGGGGTTGGATATAGGGGCACCAAGTTGTCCTTCCCACCAAAGGCCAGGGTGGGGCCAGGGGCAGGAAATGGGCAAGGTGATAGGGGTGGATGGCCTCTACCACATGACAGCTTTTCAGCAGATTGCCTTTCTAGCCAATTCGACTTTGAAATTTTTGACATCTGCCACTCCCCACCCCCTAGTGTGTCCACGAGACGCATTTATTCCTTGTGAAAGTGGCTGGAGCAACTGTTGCTCTAGGTCACTATAGCCAGAGGCTAGGGAGTGGTTTTCGGTGCCTTGGACAGCAAGGAGCATCAAGCACATCTCCCATAGGCAAGGAACTCTGGGATGTGGTCCAGGCCTTCTCCATCCACAGTGTCAGCAAGGGCACTGCCTCCTCTGTCCACTTTAGGACCCAGTGCACACACTTCACAGTGATGCTGCCCCACCATCCTTCTAGTCCTGGAGCAGAGAGCGGTCTCAGGGCCCGTGAGGAGGGCAGCCTGGCTGCAGCGACAGCTTGTCTTCTGGAGCCTGGGGGGAGCTTTTCAGGCAGATCCTTTGCCATGGCAGTGTGGTCCCAGCCTGTGGGCCCCTTCCCTGCCCTCTTGCCCTGCCCCAACTCTGTAAATACTCGTTATTGTGGACTCCGACAGGGTCAGAGGGACAGGCCTGATCAACTAGAATGCCTCAGAGTTGTCAACTCTGTCTCTCTGGATACCAACATCCCTGCAGCCTTGTGGGGCGGCACTGGAGCGCCATGGAAGTCTTGAGATATTGTGTGTGTGCATGTGAACAAGCGTGTGAGTGTGTATGTGTGTGCGTGTCTGCCTCATTCAGCCTCTGGGATCAAATAAGCTCCTTCTCTCCAAGCACAAGGCCTTGGAGAGTGGTGGCACCCAACGCCTTTTCCCTGCTAGCTTCCACGTCTTGTTTTTGCTTTCCCTTCAGCCCTTTCTTCCCTCCCTTCTTCCCTCTCTTCCTTTCTCTCCTTCTCTCCTTTATTGAGGGGGGGAAGAGTGCTGTACAAAGTCAAACAAACAAGTTTACAGTTGTAAGTGCAATGACCCGAGTCCTCCACATGACCTTGTGAATTGTGTGCCGTCCTCTTGTGCTCTGTGAGAACTCGTGGTACTTCGGTGTCCCTCCCCCTGTATCGTGACAAGGTAATTCTGTGGTATCAGAATAAAAGGACTTGATATAAACAACCTACAGGCTGTCTCTGGGATCGTTTCTGAAATAAGAGTGTAGGCAAATGAGTAAATCTCAAACTTAAAGAGAAAAAGAGCAAAAGGTTTGCCTAAGTGCTAGCACGGCCAGGACTAGGTCCACCCCAAGCCATGCAAAGACCATAAGGCCCCCACAGAGGAGGTACCCCACATCCCAGGCAGGTCCTGAGTTTGGATCTGGAGGGAGCAGCAGCTTGTTCACTGAGAAGACTGTGCCCTCAGCCACTACCCCTGAGCACATCTTGCCCAAGTTCCCTGTTAGCAGATGAGCAGGTGCTGCCCCCTAGTGCTGCCAACTAATCTTACACCAGTCATCTTTACCCAAACTTGAGAACTGTGAACCTGAGTCCTCCCCAAAAAGGATGGGAGAGAGAGTTGGGGCTGGAGCAATAGCACAGCGGGTATGGTGTTTGCCTTGCACCTGGCTGACCCAGGTTTGGTTTCCAGCATCCCATATGGTCCCCTGAGCACTGCCAGGGATAGTTCCTGAGTGCAGACCAGGAGTAACCCCTGTGCATCGCCGGGTGTGACGCAAAAAAAAAAAAAAAAAAAAGATGGGAGAAGTTTCTTACCAGAGTCACCCAAAGTTGCTAGGAAAATGATAAAATACAGCTTCACCTTTGACCTTTCTCTATAATTAATATTTTGAAGCACTTATTTATTTTGTTTTTTTGAGCCACACCAGGTGATGCTCAGGGGTTACTCCTGGTTCTGCACTCAGGAATCACTTCTGGTGGTGCTCAGGGGACCCTGTGGGATGCCAGGGATGGAACCCAGGTTGGCTGCATGCAAGGCAAATGCCCTACCTGCTGCACTGTCTCTCTGGCTCCATGGAGTATTTCTTCCTGTTCTTTCCCTCATTTAAAAATTTAATTTATACTTTTATTTTTGTGTATGGTTCTAACATGCAAGGCAAGCACTTTCCTGCTGAACCACATCCCTGGACTTTTTTTGTTGTACAGTGCCAGGGATTTAGTCTAGATTCAATCCACTTGCAAGACATGCAAGTCCTCTTTTAAATTTTTTCTAACTTTCTTTTTTGAGGGGTGGCATATTTAATTGTCCTAACAGGATATTCCTGACTCAGTGCTCAGAAGCAACCCCTAGCGGGGCTCATGGAACCACATGTGGTCCCGGGGGTTCTAACCAACGTTGGCTGCATGCTAGGCAAGCACCTTACCCTCTGTACACTCACTCCTAACATAATTATTTTAAGCCTGAAGCTGGAGGTCTAGGGTAATAGTCCAAATAGTAGAGTACATGCCAAGCATGAGTAAGGCTTGAGTTGAATCCCCAGCATCCCATGGCCTTCTAAACACGTCTAGGTGTTGTCCTGGTGACCCCTGAGGAGCACTGAGCCAGGGTACCAAACTGTCAGACCTACCAGGCCAGTACCCCAGGGCTGAGTCCTGCCCATCACTCTAGAAGTAGAATAATAATGGGCTGAAGAGATGGTTCAGCAGAGTGGAGAGCGTGCTTTGCATGCAGAAGTTCATGGTTCTCTGAGCACTCCCATGCACACCTGGAGTAGCCCCTGAGTAACCCCTAGAGTAGCCCCTAAAGTAGCCAGAAGATGCAGCGCACCCTCTTTTCTAGCCTTTTATTTTTCTGTTTTGCTCTGGGATCACACCTGGCTACTTTGGACTTGGTGTGGGGGTCGCTTCCTGCTGTCCTCATCCTTCCTGTCCAACAGTGTGGTACCAGGGATGGAATCCAAGCCTCCATTATGCAGAGCAAGCATTCAGCCCTCTTCACTTTCCCTGGCCCTTCTTACAGATTCATTTTAGGTACTTAGACCATCCAATGTTCAGTTTCCAGAGAGCAACATTAGGAGTTGATAGCCAGTCTTCTGCACACGCCTTGACGGACAGACACTGTGTTCCCAGGTTTCCTGTGATGAGCATCCTAGTTTCCAACCTTTCCACCCAATTGGTAACTGGGGCCACTTTTTCTGCTCCCAGCTCTGACTGTACACAATGGATGCTGACAGAGCAAGTGGCTTCAAATATGAAGCTGGGGGTGGGGAACTGTTTTTATTTCACTAGTCTAATATGGTTGAGGACACTGTAGGTTAGACAGGAAGGGTCTCAGTCAGGCACTTGCCTGAGGAGTGGAAAACCAGCCAGGCTGGAGCATATGGAGGAAAGGACATTTCCGCTGGCTAGCTGCTACCTAGCCTCTCCGTCCCTCCTCTGCCCACGCGATCCCACTGTGCCAAGAAAAGGTTCTTTTCCTCAAGGGAAATTCTCTGATTCTGAGTGGAAACTGCTTACGCCAACTTTGTATACCTAAGTTTGGACAGAATGAAGCCTCAGGAGACAGACTGAGGTTCAGCTGCTCCAGATCCACAGCAAGGCGCCCCTGAACAGGGTGGGTGAGCTCTTGCGAGGAGAGATAAGTTTTGGGACAGGACTGGTGGCCGATAGCCTAGGCGACACCCTGATAACTCAGCACCCGCCCTTCTCTGTTCTGCACCTCTGATCTCTTCATGGTCTGCCCTCGGCCCTTTGCTACTCGTCCTACTGAGAACCCCTCAGGTCTTGCACCGGTCTAGCAAACGTCTCGTAAAGCAGACAGAGGCCCTCGGACCTTCAGCCTTGAAACTGCGAGAGACTGTGGCTGCCCCAGGATTAGGCTGCTACTCCGCCCCTACTCTGGCCACTCATCGGCACAGTTTCAATGAAGGTAAACTTCACGGGATTCAGATCCGGCTCGGCCCCGCCTCATCCCTCGTCTTCACAGATCCATTGGTCCGCATTCACCTCAGGCCACGCCCATAAGTTTTTCACAGCTCCCATTGGTCCATATTCACCTCAGGCCCCGCCCCTCGCCTTCATCGATCCACTGGTCCGCATTCACCTCAAATCCCACCTCTCGTCTTTAAAGATCCATTGGTCCACATTCACCTCAGGCCCCGACTCTCATCTTCAAAGAGCCATTGGCCCGCATTTACCTCAGGCCCCGCCCCTCAGAGGCGGAGCACCCAATCCCCGACCAGTCACCTCACAACCTGGGCGGACAACAAGTCCTCGCAGTTCCTCAGAGACCTTTCTCCTCCCTAAAGATCTGCTCCCGTAGTCCGTTTCCACAGTATCATCTCCTCTCGTGAGAGATACCCTTGGTCCCTTACCAGTAACAGGGCCAGGACTGGGGCCCGCGACCGAGCCTCTCAGCCGTCTACTAGCTCTACCGTGGAAGGCTCTGCTCCTTTCCTCGAAGCCTCCACCTCCTCTCCGGGTCTCCCCCGGCCCCCAGACCCACGGTTCGACTCTCGCAGGCCCCACCTCCTTGCCACCGGGGCCACGCCCCTCTGCTAACGGTCCTCGCCCATTTGCCGGAGGTCCCGCCCCGCCCCGGGCGTCCCGGGCGTCCCGGGACGGAGGCGGGGACAGGCGGGCCGCTCTCGGCTCCGCCCCCTAAGCCTCACTTCCGTGTGCTGGCACGCCCCGCCTCGCCCCGGGCCGAGAGCGATTATGGAGCGGCAGGTGAGGGCTCGGCTCGCGGTTCCCGTGGTCCTTGCAGCCCGGGCCGGGCCTGACCCTGGTGTGTCCCCTGCGCAGGTGCTGCTGAACGAGCCCGAGGAGGCGGCGGCGCTGTACCGGGGCCTTAGCCGCCAACCCGCGCTGAGCGCCGCCTGCCTGGGCCCGGAGGTCACCACGCAGTATGGGGGCCACTACCGGACGGTGCACACCGGTGTGTGTATGAGGGAGATCGGGCGGTCGGTCCGCTCAGGGCCGTGCAGTGGGGTGGAAAGGAGGGAAAGGTGGAATGCTCGCGGCTTGACGGAGCACATGGGTGTGTGAATGAAGAGGGGGCTTGGAGGAGTGGGGGTGGAAGGGTGCACACAGGTTTATGGGGGAGGGGAGGTTGTTCAATCATTATGGGATGGTACCTATGAATACGAGTTGAGAAAGAGGAAGTAGAATTAGAATCTGGAGGCCCGGGAGATAGTAAAAGGTCCACAGCGCATGCCTTGCATGTAGGTAACCCTAGTTAGAATTCCCTGTACCATATATGGCATACCAAACAGCAGCACCACCAGGGACCATTCCTACACACTGAACCAAGAATAGCCCCGGGGCACTGCTAGGTTTGGCCTAAACCTCATTTCCCCTCCCCCCAACCTCCCCCCTCCAAATTAGAATTCAGATGTGAATATAGGGAGTGGGCTTTGTAGACCACAACCCCAGTGGGTGGTTTCTCTGAGAGGCGTCAAGTCAGTCTCTGGAGGCCTAGACTTGGGCTGTGGCCAAGGGTGGCCTGTCCTGTACCTAGACTATCTGGAGACAGATTGAGGTGGACTGGGCCTTCCTGCTGAGGTAGGTAGGCAATAGCCTGGACTGGTCAGGCCCGGCAGACTTATGTCTTTCCTCACAGAGTGGACCCAGAGGGACCTGGAACGCATGGAGAACATCCGATTCTGCCGCCAGTACTTGGTGTTCCACGACGGGGACACCGTGGTTTTTGCAGGCCCTGCAGGGAACAGTGTGGAGACCCGGGGGGAGTAAGTTTGAGGGAGGAAATGGTGGGCAAGGCCCCAACCATCTTGGTGGGCACTGGATGAATGCCCACCATGGATCTGGGTGCAGGTGGGACCTCACGGGAGGGAGCTCATGAGATGTCTGGTGATAATGCTTGAAAAAAGCATGGGAGGCTTGCTCCAGAGATGCACCCAGGCTGTGCCATGGAAGCTCTGGGAGTCTGGGCAGAGGGGAGCCCCTGCCACAGTGAAGGAGCAAGGCCTGAAGGGTTCGTGTGAAATCAAAGACTTAAGAATTTTTTTTTACAGTAGTGGAGGCTCTTGGGGACTTTGGTGGTGGTAAAGGTGCAACAAAACCTTGTACAACAAAAACATAAACCTTGATACTGTTGTAACCATATTACCTGAATAACAGTAACAATGGAAATAGACTTGCTTTTATAAAGAAAGAATTTAGGGGCTGAGTGATAGTACAGTGGCCCAGGGTCCTACCTTGCACCTAGGCTGACTGACTGGGATTGAGGCTTCCCATATGGTCGGCTGAACACCACTGGGAATCATTTCTGAGTGCAGAGCCATGAGTAATCCCTGAGTATCGCTGAATGTGGCCCCCAAACCAATAAATAAATAAATAATAGAAAGAATCTAGTTTTAGGAGCTGTGGCCTAGAGGGGGAGCAGACTGGCCCTTGTTGGTCATTTGGTGTAAGGTGACTGATTCCATTCCCTGTCCTCAGGCTGCTGAGCAGAGAATCTCCTTCTGGTGCCACAAGAGCGGTGCTGCGCAAGACTGGAGGCACGGGCCCTGGGGAGGAGAAACAGTTCCTGGAGGTGAGTATGTCGGGGACAAAGCAGTGGACATTGGGGGGCTCGGCCCCTTGCATGAGGGCAGATAAGCTGATAACCAGATATCCTTAGATCTGGGAGAAGAACCGGAAGCTCAAGAGTTTCAACCTGTCAGCGCTGGAGAAACATGGGCCTGTGTACGAGGATGGTGAGGCAGCTGGCTGGTGAGAAGGAAGGGTGGACAGGAGGGAGATCCATAGCCCAGAGTGTCCCCTGATGACCGGCCCTCCCTGCACCCAGACTGCTTTGGCTGCCTGTCCTGGTCGCACTCGGAGACACACTTGTTGTATGTGGCAGAGAAGAAGCGCCCCAAGGCTGAGTCCTTCTTTCAGACCAAAGCCTTGGACATCAGTGGCAGTGATGAAGACATGGCCAGGCCAAAGAAGTCCGACCAGGCTGTGAAGGTGCTCATGGCCGTAGCCAGTTCATGAAGGCCCCTTAGGGGAGCCCTGAGGTGCAGGATGTTCCGTCTCTACTCAGTACCCATCAGAGCTGGGACAGCATTGGCTTCTGGGGGGTAGGGCAGAACCCTGTGGGATTGGCAAGGTGTTAATTTTCCTGTGTTTTCAGGGGGATCAGTTTGTATTTTATGAAGACTGGGGAGAAAATATGGTTTCCAAAAGCACACCTGTGCTCTGCGTGCTGGACATTGAGAGCGGCAACATTTCGGTGCTTGAGGGGGTCCCTGAGAACGTGTCCCCTGGACAGGTTAGCCCTGGCTCCTCCTGCATTATTCTTGGACCCTGGGTGCCTGCTTGCTCTGCTGCCCCAAGTTCATGCCTGGCCCATGGTGTTTGTAGGCATTCTGGGCCCCTGGAGACACAGGCGTGGTGTTTGTTGGCTGGTGGCATGAGCCCTTCCGGCTGGGCGTGCGATTTTGTTCCAATCGCAGGTGAGGAAGCAGCTCAGGGCCAGGGTCAAGCACGCAGGCTGATCTCAAAACTGACTGTGTATCTCTGCTGGTTCCAGGTCAGCTCTGTACTACGTGGACCTCACCGGGGGGCAGTGTGGTAAGTGACTGGTGTCCAGCTCACTGTGCTTTGCTGACATACACTGCGCTGCCCCTGCCTGCCTGCCTGCACAACACTCACATTTCCTTCTGGTCCAGAGCTCCTGTCCGATGACATTGTGGCGGTCTCCTCTCCCCGGCTAAGCCCAGACCAGTGTCGCATCATCTACCTGCGGTACCCATCCCTAGTGCCCCATCATCAGTGTAGCCAGCTGTGCCTGGTGAGCTTGGGGGTCAGGGGTGAGGGGAGGAGGGGTCAGCTAAAGGAGGGGGAGGAGAGATGAGTGGTGAAGGGAAGGTCAGCTAGGTCTCCCCTGGGTGCCTCAGAACACCTCTTGTCTTAGGCAGTGTTGGCATGAGTCCTGCTCCCTCCCCAAAGCAGGGCCTGCAGGGGGCTGAGAGGCAGGACTGTCTGCGGGGAGTTGGGACTCAATGCCTGGGGAGCGTCTCTGGGGAGAAGTGTGCTCCTCCAGGCCCCGGAAGAGGACCCAAAGGCAAAATACATACTATCCATGTGGGAACCCCAGGTTTGATTCCCAGCATCTCACCGTCTGGTGTGGCCCCCAAATAAAAGAATGGACTGCTTCCTCCCTTTGCTTCTCATCTGTGCATGCCCAGGCTCTACGGGGAGCCGAGATCTAGGAAGCAGTAACGGTCTTACAGACCCAAGGAAGCTCATCCCACCTTTTCCTGAGGCCACGCAGGGCTGTCAGCGAAAGAGTGAGACCAGAGCTCTGTGTCCTGGTGGTATTTCCAGTATCCTGGCAGACCTGACTTTCGTGTCCTCTTGCAGTATGACTGGTACACCAAGGTGACCTCGGTGGTGGTGGATGTCGTGCCGCGGCAGCTGGGAGGTAAGTGGAGGCTAGCGAATGGATGTAGCAGAGACGGTACCCCAGGTCTCCTTCATGACCCTCCTGCATGGGGTCAACTCCGAAGCTGCCCTCTTTGCTGAGCAGCCTCATGTCTGTCCTCTGCAGGGTAGGGAGTGGGGTTCAGGGAGGGGATCTCTCAGAGGGAAACCCAAGGGGTAAGAACTGAGACCATGGCAGCCTGCCCTGCTGAGGGTCTCATTGTTTCATTTCTGTGCTCCCACTTACTATTTTGTTTTGTTTTCTCACTGCCCCTTCAGATGGGGGTCTCAGAATGTACGCAAGCTTGGGGTGTCCTAACTGACCCTGTTGAGCCACTCCCTAGACCCTCCAAGTCTAGTTAAGCCCCTGGTCAGTGGGTCTTGGGGATGGCCCTTGTCTGGCAGGCCCATTGGATCTCAGGTGTTTGCAGCTCTGTGTGGGACCTTGAAACATGCCACGGACAGGAGGGGCAAGAGTCTGTTTCCTTGGCAGCCTGGGCAGGTTCAGTGTCCAATGGATGAGGAGTGGCCACAGTCTCCTATGTTGGGGTCTCAGGGAGGCCATGTTGGGGAACTATCTGAATCTAGCGCCACCCCCTGTTAGCTGCGGCCTCAGACCGTGTCCTGGTGTCACAGTTTCCACTTCTTTGTCTGTGGTGGGTGCCGGTTTTGTGAGATTGATTGCTGTGGGGGTTAGATTAGGGGTGAAGGGCCAGCTGTGTGGGCACTGGGCTCAGCAAGCCCATGGGCAGGACCCACTGAGTACTGCTCACAGAGGACCAGCACAGAGCTCCTCAGCCCTCGCACCTCTGCCCTCTGGCCCTTAGGGCCCCCGTGTGCAACAAACATTAGTGATGGGGTCCTAAGTGAATCTCCCATCAGCCTAGAACCCCCATATCTCCTCTTCTGGAAACACCTCCTCAAGACCTCTCTTCCCCGAATCTTTGCAGAGAACTTTTCTGGAATCTACTGTAGCCTGCTACCCCTGGGTTGCTGGGCAGCTGACAGCCAAAGAGTGGTTTTCGACTCGCCTTACCGCAGCCGACAGGTACAGGGCCGGGCCAGTGTGGAGGGTGCCCCTCTGATCAGCCCCTGGAGCATAGCACAGGCATACCCCAGGGCCACCTGCCTTGGAACATCCTGTGGCCAGGGCTGGAGCAATAGTACAGTGAGTAGGGTGGTTGCCTTGCATGCAGCCAACCTGTGTTCAGTCCCTGGCACCCATATGGTTCCCTGAGCATCGCTGTAGAGCCAGGAATAATTCTTGAGCATCATTGGGTATGGCTCAAAAAACAAACAAAAAAAGACCCTGTGCCTGACTCAGTTCCTGTGGGGTGGCAGCAAAGTAACCCCCAAGACATTTCCAGCCAGGAGAGAAGGAGCATGGGTAAGCCCTTGAACACTATGAGAATTGTTGGCGTTGACACTGAGCCCTTCTCCCAGGCCTGCCCAGGGCCCCCGCAGCGTGCCAGGCTCCTCCTGTCTCTGCTTTCACTTGACTCTTACACTCTCTCAGAGGGTGCAGGGGCAGTCCCTGTCTTGTCCAGGGTCACCCAGCATGTTATGCCAGGGCTGGGATTTGAACCCAGGCCTGAGGTCACTTGCTACTGTCCTGATACAGGGGTCCCCAGGAGGGCAAAGAAAAGATAGGAGACAGGGACAGGCACTGGGGAGCTTTGGGATGAGGGGTCACACCACTGTTCCCCCCTGCTTCAGGACCTGTTTGCTGTGGACACCCAAATGGGCACTGTGACCTCCCTGACAGCTGGTGAGCAGGGTTGGGGAGCGGCCAGCTGGGGTGGCGGGGGCACTCTGGTGGCCTTGCAAGGACCCATCCATGCAGGATTCTTTCCACCTGGCTCTACCCTTATCTCCTGGTCCTACCTCAGCATGAATGGCCTCCACCTGCCCCACACAAACGCACAAACATACAAACCAAACATACAAATGCACAAGCACAGCTCTGCTTTGGAGCCCTTGGGCCACATACCCTCTCTGCCACTCCCCTCCCCTGGGCTTGGTACATTGTTTCCAGCGGTGACTGTTCTGTCACCCTGGGGCCCAAGACTTGCTGGCTCCCTAGTTTTCCTCTCAGTCCTGGTGATTCTGTCCCTAAAATGTCTTCAACCCACTCGGGTTCCTCCATGTCTCCCCACTGCCTCCTAGGCACCCCAGCCCTCTGCACCTGGCCCCTCCCAGACCTGCTGTTCCCTCAGCATCGCCAGCATCTGCCACACAAGCAGCAAACCAAGCAGGAAGCCCACCCTGGGCCCTGTGCCACTTGGTGACTGGTGTTTGTGAGAGAATCTCTGGTGTCCTTTGCATTTCAGGATGGAAGGGGCACCTTGTCATAGAGTCTCTAGTGGAAAGGGGGGGGCGGCCTTGGCTCAGCAGAACTGGGGGAGTGAGAGGGGGCATTGGTGCTATTGCTTAGTCCTTTGTGTCCTGATTCTTCCAGGGGGCTCAGGTGGGAGCTGGAAGCTGCTCACAATTGACCAGGACCTCATGGTGGCCCAGTTCTCCTCACCCAGCCTACCACCAAGCCTGGTGAGTGATGGGAGGCCCAGGCCCAGCAAGTGGGAATTCAGTGCAGACAGAGCACTACAGACTGCGAAACTGTCCCCTGAGTCATATCAGGGCTGGTCAGTGTCTGAGAGGCCAAGATGTGGAGAAAGTGCGTTGAGAGAGGTGTGTATGTGTGTCTGTGTGATGAGAGAGGGGCGCGTGTGTACCAGCTCAATGGGAGTCTCTGCTGTACCCTGGAGGTGGGCAGAAGACCGAGTATAGTGAGGGGTGCCCATCTTCTCTGGACACAAGTGGAGGCCGGGAAGCAGCCAGCCCTGTTACACACTCTTCCCTCTGGCAGAAAGTCGGCTTCCTGCCTCCTGCGGGAAAGGAGCAGGCGGTGCTGTGGGTGTCCCTGGAGGAGGCTGAGCCCATTCCTGATATCTCCTGGTGCATCCGGGTGCTCCAGCCACCCCCTGAGCAAGACAACGCGCAGTATGGTGAGCTGAACTGGGGTTGAGGGACCTCAGAGGGCCCTGTCACACAGCGCCTTTGGTCCACCTTTTCCACCTTCTGTCTAATGTGGCGGTGCTTGAGATGTGCTCTGCGAAGTTTTCGGTTCCTCTGATGGACAGTTATGGGGAGCAGTGTCCAGACTGGGCACCAGCAGGGCAATTCATAATTGGTGGGAAAACCAAGGCCCCAAGAAGTCAGGCCTGGTTCAAGACCTCTGTAATACTATCCCCAAAGAGAACCAGTTGAGCCTCCTGTATGGGGGTGACAAGTAGGGCTACCTGGTCTGAGGTCTTGGGGGGTCTTGGGCCTGCCCCTCTGGCTGAGACATCAGTGTGGAAGGCCCTGGGTAGGGCACTGGCCCTTCTCACACCTGTCCTCTCCCTGCAGCTGGACTGGACTTTGAAGCAATCCTGCTACAGCCCAGCAACCCTCCAGATAAGAACCAGGTCCCCCTGGTGGTCATGCCCCACGGTAGGCTTCTGGCCTCAGAGCCCCTGCCCTCCTACCACCCCTCCTGGCTGGCTTGTTCACCCTCTGCTTCCTGTCCACAGGGGGTCCCCATTCGTCCTTTGTCACTGCTTGGATGCTGTTTCCAGCCATGCTCTGCAAGATGGGCTTTGCAGTCCTGCTGGGTGAGTAGCCAGGGCCTCATAAGGGTGGGCTCAGTCTCGACAAGTACCGTGGCCACCACCCTGATCTCCAGACCTCTCTGTAGCCTCAATGAGCCTGCCCTGGCCCAGCCTGACTCCTCTATATGCTAATTGGCCTCGCACAGGAAGTGTGTTGTGGTCACTGAGGAGCTGCCACAAATCTTGGTCCCTTCCGCTTGTGAGTCTGTGGAGCTTGAGCCCCAGGACCAACCTTGCAGAAGGGCAAAAGGCATCTGGGGAGCTGGGACTGTCACTTGACCGCCCTCTCTGGTCCCTCTGTCTAGTGAACTACCGTGGTTCCACGGGCTTCGGCCAGGACAGCATCCTCTCCCTCCCAGGCAATGTGGGCCGCCAGGATGTAAAGGATGTCCAGGTAGCAGGGTGGGGCTCTGAACAGGCGGGGATGGGGGATAGCCCTCAGGATGTGACTGCCCTTGCAAGGGAGGCAGCTGGCTGCAGTGCTCTGCCCTGTCCTGCAGTTTGCAGCGGAGCAGGTGCTCCAGGAGGAGCACTTTGACGCAGGCCGAGTGGCCCTGATGGGCGGTTCGCATGGCGGCTTCCTCTCCTGTCACCTGATTGGTCAGTACCCGGAGACCTATGGTGCCTGTGTGGTGCGGAACCCCGTGATCAATATCGCCTCCATGATGGGCTCCACCGACATCCCCGACTGGTGGGTATGATGCCAGGTCCCTGCCACTCTCCCCAGGCCCCGCTGGCTGGCCTCAGGGCTCCTGGGGGCTGCAGCAGCTGCATTTCTTGCAGGTGTGTGGTGGAGGCTGGTTTCCCCTATAGCAGCGACTGCCTGCCTGACCTCAGCGTGTGGGCCGAGATGCTGGACAAGTCACCCATCAAGTACACCCCTCAGGTGCGCAGCCCTCCCCCACCCGGTTGGTGGATGGTCCCGAGCCCAGACCTGGCTCACCCCCACAATGCACCCCCCAGGTGAAAACGCCGCTATTACTGATGCTGGGCCAGGAGGACCGGCGTGTGCCCTTCAAGCAGGGCATGGAGTATTACCGTGCCCTCAAGGCCCGGAACGTGCCTGTGCGGTGAGTGTGGAGGGGACAGCCCTGACTGCTGGCGGGCAGGTGAGTGGGGAGGTCCCTCCAGATTCCAACACTGGCCCAACCCCTGCAGGCTCCTGCTGTATCCCAAAAGCACCCACGCGCTGTCAGAGGTGGAGGTGGAGTCGGACAGCTTCATGAATGCTGTGCTCTGGCTGCGCACGCACTTGGGCAGCTGAGCCTGGCCCCTCTGCTGGGCAGGTTGGCCCGCGGCACACTTTGCTCTGGAGGAGCCCCGGAACCTGGCAAGAGGTGGCCTGGGCTCTTGACTCGGTGGATGGGTTGAGTCAAGAATTGTGGGCTCTGGAGGCAGAATAAATGAGAACCAGAGTCTGGTTCCTGCTGGACTTTGTACCGAGTCACCCCTCACTTCATCCCTCCCCTTGCATTCAAAGACTGCATCCACGGAGAATGAGGCTGCAGGGACCTCATGTCCCTCAGGGTGAGAAGACAAGCTGGGGACAGTGAGGCTCAGGTCTGACCAGCCGGGACTCGCCAAGGGAGCTACCTCTGCTGCTGCACCTCCATTCTTCTCTCCTGCTGTGTGTCTCGGAGACACATGAAGCCCCCCCTCAGCAACACAGTCTGAATCTGAAGCATCTGTGGGGTCAGATCTGCTGCCCCAGGGTGCCCTTCCCTCAAGCCTCCCAGGCTGGAGCAAGGCATTGTTGGCTGGTTCCCTAGAAGCGGAAGCTAAGCTGCATCTGCATGGGTGTAAAGAGGAAGGCAGCTTTATGTCAGACAGAGGCTCACCCCACCGAGGCCCCCAGGCTTGCAGCCAGGCCTAACCCAGCTGCATGACCTTGTGGATCCAGTCCGTAAACACAGAGATGCGAATATAGACGGCTGGCCAGCGTGGCCGCGCGCACACGCGGTTGGGAATGATGATTCCTTGCAGGACCCAGCAGTCATGGGTGAAGCAGGCAAGCGGACCCCCGTAGTCGCCCTGGTAGGAAGGAAAACCGGTGAGGGACCCTTGGCCAGGGCAGAGACTGTTCCCCTTGCAGGGGTGAGATGATGTTTTCATCTCCTCCACCCCACCCATCCCTGTCCAGGCTGGTCAATTGCCAACCACTGACCTCACAGGCCCCCACAGGGGCCAGCAGCCCCTCAGTGCACAGCTCATTCTCCCGCACGCGCCCTCGGTGCTTGACATTACATTCCTGGTTGGAGATGACTTTCATTGAGGCCACATTAAGTACCGAGTTGTCCCCTGTGCCTACAGTGAAGGGAATACAAAGAGAGAGCCTGTGGGTAGGACGCGGGGCTGGGCATGGGGGGGTGGGGCCCAGCACCCTGCCTTGTCTCTCACCTTTAGTCTCCCCCCAGCCTGCAATTTCACACTGGGTTCCTGGAGGCACCACATAGCGCTCAGGGGGCAGGCAGATCAGGGCCACACGCTGATTCAGGGTCACGGGCCTTCAGCAGGGATGGGGGGGACTCAGCCTGAGGCCACAAGGCCCAACCCCACCTCACACCCTCTCCACATGCCCCCTCTTGAGCCTACACACCTCTCTAGCTTGAGCAGAACCAGCTGGGAGCCGGAGGGCCCGCACACCAGCTTGGTGACTGGGACCCGCTGCAGGTCTGGCTCTGAGGGCTGTGGGTTCTGGAATAGGGTGCCCAGCCACACCTCATAACCTAGGAGGGGCATGTGGCTGGGGGAGGAGAAAGTCCCTGAGGTCAGCCCACACAGTCCCTGAGGCCCAGCTGTTGGCCTGCCCAAGGGAAGATGGAGAGAGGCTCACCAGGAAGAGAAGCACTGCCGGGCAGTCAGTACCCACTGCTCCTTCACTAGGGACCCCCCACAGAAATGATGGCCCTGTCTGGAGAAAGGGAAGAGGGAACAGAGTGAGCCAGCTCTGGGCTCCAGGGCCACCAGCACCAGCCCTCAGGTACAGCGCACCGCCCCCCCTTCAGGGCCAGTGTGTCTCACCGGTTCCGCAAGCTGACAGTCCAGGGTGAGTTCCCAGGCTGGCCCCCCACCACCCGCATCCTGGGGGACAGCCGGTCCTGTCGGGTCACCCTCTTGCCACACTTCTCAAACAGCACCTGGTCTGGGGGTGAGGGTGAATATGGGTAAAACTGAGTGGAGAGAAGTGGGCAAGGGGGTTTCATCTATACCAGGTCAGGTCCATACCTGCGGGCTCCAGGATGGACGGCTGTTGCTCATCATCTGAAAGACCCGAGTTCACCGAGTTAAGGGAGTCAGGACGGGGGATGGGACGGGGGCTGGGGCTCGGGGGTGCTCACCGCAGCGCTTCAGAGCGCAGTAGTCGAAAGGCGTCCCCGGGTCGGTGGTGTAGCACCAGGGACCGTGGCTGTCGGCGTCCGGGTTCCGGCAGAAGTTCTCCTCCAGCTGCGCATGGAGGACAGAGGCGGGCGTGAACCTAGGTGGGACGGGGAGGCCAGAATCAAAGGCCCGCGATGCCAAGCCTCCCTGGGCCCGGGTGACTCGCGCCGTCTCAGGACGGTCGTACTCACTGGGGCTTGTGCGGCGTATCGGCGGACCAATGCTGGCAAGTGACGCCCTTGCGGGTCTTGCTGACCGAGCCGCGGTAGCTCTCCCCGACGCCGTGGTAGCAGTCTGCAGCGGCGGACGCCCCGCGGGGCGGTCAGCAGCAGCGCGCTCCCGCGCCCCCCGCCCTCACCCCGCGCCCGGGACTCACCCTCGGCCCGCACGTCGTCGGCGCAGCGCCGGATCTGGTAGCAGAAGGCCATGCGCATTCCAGGCCGCGAGGTGAAGCACCAGGGTGCCTCCGAACCGTCGGGATTCCGGCAGAAATTCTCGCGAAGGTCCCTGCAGGAGCGACCCCTCAGTGCCGAGGGACGCGCTGTGGGCCGGGCAGCCCCGCCCTCTCAAAGCCCCGCCCACGAGTGTGGCCCCGCCCACGAGCGAGCGCTCACTTGCAAGCGTATTTCTCCGGCGCGAAGAGGTGCTGATGCGGATACTGCGCGTCCCAGCGCTGACAGGGTACTCCCGCGGCGGTGGTGTTGGCCGTGCCCCGGTAGCCCTCGCCCTTCCCACGGAAGCAATTGAGTGTCGTGGCCTCCTTGTGCTGATGTGTGTTGGTCCCTTGGATGGACGCCAGAGACTGAGACCCCAAGGATGGGAGGGCCCGAATCCCGTTCTTTCTGGTCCCTATGGTCCTTTGACAGCCATCGATTCATCCCCAGCCACCCCACAGTCACTGCTTTCCCTGGTGCGGCCACGCGTGCGCGCGCGCGCGCGCACACACACACACACACACACACACACACACACCCTTCCCATGTATGCCCCACCCCCACCACGCCTGGTTCCCCTACCGCAACGAGGAAGGTTGCAGAACTCCCGCTTGAGCTGTGGATCAGTGGTATAGCACCACGGACGCTCGGAACCATCCGGATTCCGGCAATAGTTGTCGTCCAGGTGTTTGTCTAGGAACCTGGAAACGGTAGTGGGGCCTGAACAAGACCCCTGGACTCCGGCCCCATCGGATTCAGACCGTCTACCGCCTTCCATACGATCTCACCCCTAGAACCCTGGGCCCACCCTCAGGGCAGCAGGTTGGTCAAGCCCACCATGCGTACTTGCCGGGTTCGAAGGGGTGCGGGTGTGGGTGCTGCAGGTCCCAACGCTGACACTCGCGCCCTGACTCAGTATGGTCCACGGCCCCGCGATAATCTTCACCATTGCACCAAAAGCAGGCTGCTGGAAGGCCAGAGAGACAGGACAGCGGGTAAGGTGCCTGCTTGCATGCAGCTGACTGTGGTTTGCTTCCTCGTACCCACTATGGTCCCCCCAGCACTGCCAGAAGTAAGCCCTGAGCACAGTTGGGTGTGGCCCAAAAACAAAAAAAAAAGCAGGTTACTGGAGACACAGGAGCACAGGGCTGAAGTAGGTTCAATTGCTGGACCATGCAAGCCTGATTCCTCCTACTCATCCATTTACCCTCCTTGCAGGACTTAAGGCCGCAGCTTTGGTAACGTTTGGCAGGGTCTGTCGTGTAGCACCAGGGACCTCCAGGGTCCCTGTCAGGGTTTCGACAGAAGTTCTCTTCCAAGCCATTCTGTGGGGTGGGTGTGTACCTGTGGGCAGAGAACCGGCCAAACAATGGCACCATGGGACAGCCTGGGGACACCAAGGGACAGAGGAAGGATGTCTATCTCACTTGTGGTCATTGGGGAACTTGTGTCTCCAGTGCTGACAAGGTAGGCCCTCCTTGGTGACTGCTGCAGTTCCCCGGTACTGGATCCCGATGTCTACAATGCAGTTCCGTACATAATCTGAAAGCAGGAGACAGTCACCATGGCCCAAAACCCCTCTCTCTGCAAGGCATCCCTTCTATCATCACTTGCCTTTTTTTTGGAAGAGGTCACAGCCCCCAGATCGCTGCAGCCGTGTATGAGGTGAGTATTGGGTCCAGGGCAGCATCTGGCAACCTTGGCTGCTCACATTGTAGTGGAAGGCCCTGGGTGGGTGGGTGGGGAACAGGCAGTTACCCAGGGCCCAGACCACCCCCATCCTCAATCTGTTCTAGGTCCTGTGGTGATTTACCTGCAGTCCAGCAGGTCCTTGCAATATTTTGCACACTCCTCTGCATCTGCCACATTTTCTTGCCAAGGTTTGGAGCTCCCTGAGTGTAGCAGGTGCTGCAGCTTCGTACCCCGAAGTACCTGGAAATCATTCAAAGGCGAGCGCTGCCCTGCAAGGGGATGGGGGTGGGTGCATGTCAGCACACATATGCCAGCATGTCCACAAGTCATTCATTCAGGGGATCAAAGCTACAAGGCCTCTGGCATGGACCCTATGGGCACAGTCAATAGTTAGTCCCCTATGAAAGAGTGTGGACAGCCACCCCCACCAGATGGCAGTTGTCACCAGTGTGTGTCCCTGTTTAGTGGGCAAAGCATGAGGCTCAGTCTCAATCACACAGTCTAGGAGAACAGTGAGTGATGGTACTGGCCCCATGGAATTGGTCCCCTCTTATCTCAGCTGGGAAGTTATCACACTACCCAGCAGAGCAGTGCGCCGCCCCCTCCCCCACCACCCCCAGCACTTCTGACTTGAGTTCCAGCTCTTACCAGCCCAAGGCTGTTTGCTAAGTTTGCCTGCGTCTCACTGCAGCAGCCCTGCATGCAGGCCCCGGGAGGCAGCGCGCATCTGCTCTAGGAACGCCAGCTCCCAGCTAGAAGCCAAGGTCACTGACTAGTCCGTGCCCAGGAGCTCCTGGTGCAAACAGCAGGAGGGGTCCAGGGCTGAACCCTTTCCCAGGCACAGGTGGGGAACTCGGGGTGGGGGGCACTCACCAGGAACCCCTGAGAACTGTGTCAGCACCAGCAGCAAGAACCACCCCATCCTCCGTTCTGGAGGTTGTACTGTGACCCACCGCAGCCCCATCCGGGACATTGTGAAACCTGTCCCAATGGGATTGGGTGACTCTGGCTTCCCACCTCCCCCCTGGGCTCTGGAGCCTGATCTCAGACCCAGGGGCAGGAATGGGGGTGGGGCTCGGCCTTCGCCCTCAGAGCGAGAGAAAGGAACATCTAACTCCCTCCCAGGCTGCCCAATACACTGGGTACTGGGGGTTCCACTTGAGGCGCCCTGAAGAAGGAACAGCCTAGCAGAAGAGGCTGCACAACCAAAGGGCAGTGGAACTACCAGGAACTGGGGTGCCCATGCCTAGGCGGCTACATTAAACTTGACTGAGCCTCAGCAATTCCCGGCAAAGTGAGGCCGTTTCTGCCCCAGTCCCCAGAGCAGCTCCCGCCCTCAACCCCGCGGACTTATCGGGGCCAGCTGTCAGATCTGCCCACGCCCAGGCAGCGGAGCCCAGAGGGGCTCCCCTAGTCCTGCCAGAGGTGCCTTTCCGCGGCAGGTGAGCAAGGCCATCTGCGGCGTGAAAGTGGGGGTGACAGGTTAGCAGGGATCCCGGCAGGGGCGGCCTTTCAGACTTGCAGGGGGAATCTGTGGCCCGGGACGCAGGGACGGGTTAGGAGCTGTGCTCGGCGGCCTGCGGTTCTCAGGCAGGAACCTGCGTTAGGACCTGCAGGCCCCGAGACCGCGGGGAGGCCGAGCCCTAGAAGCAGCCGGAGGCGCCCCCTAGCGGCGGCCGGGCGCGGGGTGAGCGCGTGCGCGTGCGCGGCGGGCGCGCAGTTTGGCCCCGGCCGGGCGCCGTAGCCGAGAGGCCGGGCGGATATCGTGAGCCCGGACAAGGCGGCCGGAGCTGGGGGTGAGTGAGGGGCGGCCGGGCTCGGAGCGGGGCGGGTCCCCGCGGCTCCCCCTCGCGGCCTTCGCTGGTCCGGTGCGAGGGTGCTCTCTGTGCGGGACTCAGCCCCGCGGTGCGGGGCTCCGGCTGGAGCCGGCCTGGAGGAGCCTCCCGAGCGTGGGGCCGGGTGGGGACGAGCTGGGGGGGGGACAGGCGCTGCCCTCCGCGTCCTTGGGCTCCCAGGTGGGACCTGTGAGATCGCAGCCCGCACGCCTCCGCGAGGCTGCACGGGATGGACGTGGACGGGATGGGCACCTGTCTCCTGGGTGCGCAGCCTCTGCTCCACCCCCCCCCCCCCCCACCGGAGTGGCTGGCTGTCCGACAGATAGCGATCAAATGAGTGTCGGCCGCGTCCCATCCGCCCGGCACCTGCGCCAGTGTGAGGGGTGCCGCGGGGCCCGGACCCCGCTGCGGGCCAGGGATGGGGGACCGGGTAGGGACAGTCTCCCCGCGTCGGGGCTGCGAGGCTGGTGGCGGGCGCGTGGGGGGGACGGGGGACGGGGGTGTGGCGCGATCGGAGGACTGTGAGGTGAGATAAGACCATAGGGCAGCGAGCCCCAGTGAGTGTGGCGAGCCACAACGGGTGATAGAACTTTTGGCGCTGGGGAAATGTTCCATGCTGTCATCGCGGGCCGCTTGTGGCCACTGATTCCTTCAAATAGGGCCAAGAGAAGTGAGACTTGAAATGTTCATGTTTCAAACTTGAATTCAAACTTAAGAAGCCACCTGTGGCCACAGAGGACCATGGTGACGGCAGCGCTAGGCCAGTGCCAACCTTGGGCTCTCGGGAGCTTGGGCACCTCCCCATGGAAGAGGGATGAACTATCAGTGAGTCTCGGGGTGCTGTGCCCTGATGGACTGCAAGGCTGTGAGCGAGGGGGAACACAGGACCCGGAGGTGGACCGCCCTCCGGGGGTGGGGCAGAGGCTCTCACTTCTGGTCCAAACTGGACACTTGGTGCCTCCTGGGGGGCGACAGGGTCTCTGCCTCTGGGTCATTCGCATAGGATACCTTGGTCTGGTTTCCCCAGGACTGAAGCATTTAGTTTGGTTCAACAAACATCATTCCCTGGCACCTGCTTCCGGTCAGACCCCCTGCTGAACACTGGAACTTGGTGAAACCTGCCACGTGGGCCTCGCTGTGTGGGAAGCTGAGGGCCGCTGCTTGCCTCTTCCCAGAGGGTTGGTGTGAGTGTGCACCTGACCCCACCTGCCTGAGAGCCCTGTGAGTTTGGGGATCCTGAGACAAGCTCTTCTCTGGTCCAGCCCCCAGGACCACTGACTGCCTGCAAGAAATGAAGGATGGCATCTAAGGGGTCTGGCGTGTCTTTCCCCCGCAAGAGCTATAGGCTGACATCCGATGCTGAGAAATCCAGGGTCACAGGTATGGGCTGGCAGGGTTGCGGGGAGGCATCTTGTGTTGAGACATGGAAGGAAGAGATCGAGGCGGTGGCAGAATCCTGCATACCATGAGCCTCCAGCCAGCTCTGTTCACCAACAACCTTGCAGGGAGGAGTCAGCCCAACTTCTCACCTCGTGGCTGACCCCTGGGAAGGAGAGGTGTCTAGGGTCACCCTGCTGGGCACCACACACACCGTGTCACCCTTCTCCTGACTTGTCATTCAGGCATTGTGCCCGAGAAGCTGCTGAATGATTACCTACACCGCATCTTCTCTTCACCCGACCAGGCCCCTGCCACAGCCGCCGCCAGCAGGTATGTGGAGTGGATTTCCCCCTCATGGGACCAGCCCCTCCATAGCTCGCTGGCTGCATTCTCTCTGTGGAAGGATGAGAAAGGAGAGCGCCTGTGTGTAAGACCTTGGGCAGCGAGTCTGTCTTCCAGACCCCACTTCTTCCCCTTCCCTGGCAGCTGGCACCTCTTTTCCTTGGTCAGGGACCCAGCGTTTAGCTTAGCCCTTCACACTCGCTCCGTGCTCAGTGTGCAGCCTGGCTTTCTCTCACCTCTGCCTGAATTTGCCATGTGCACATACCATTTTTCCTTGCAAATTTATTATGTCTCCCAAATGATAACCGCATTTTAGCAGAAAATTAGAACCAGATAGATGAAAGATCATTAGCAAGACCATGTTGAGTGTTTTTCTTTTTCTTTTTTGGTGGTGGGGGTAGCGGGTTGCTGGGATTGGACCCAGAATCCTGTTCATGTGAGGCATGAGCTCTACCAAAGAACTTTGTCCTTGGCCCCTCCTGGTTTTTTTTCCTCTTTCTCTCTTTTTTTTGGGGGAGGGGGTGGGGGAGCAGGATGTACATCTAATAGTGCTCAGGTACTCAAGGGACCTTATGCAGTTCAGTGACGGAACCAGGATTGCAGCTCTTTCTGTTTTGTTGGTGATACCAGACTCAGACCCAGGGCCTCACACTTGCAAGTATGATGTTCAGCTGCTGAACTGCATGCTTGATCCTCCTCTCTTGCCTGTCTTATACTGTGTATTGTTTGGGCTAGGCCATGTAAAACATTTTTTAAAAACTTTATGTCATTTGTTTTTAGCACTGTAGCGCTGTTCTCCCGTTGTTCATCGATTTGGTCGAGTGGGCCCAGTAATGTCTCCATTGTGAGACTTGTTGTTACTGTGTTTGGCAGATCGAATACGTCATGGGTAGCTTAAACTGTTTTTATCATACATTAAAATTTATGCTTTTTTGTAGAAAGTAATTTTTTTCAGGGTCAAAAATGTGGTTTAGCAATAGAGCACTCGCCTTGCATGTGTGAGCCCTGGGCCCAAGCCCTGGTACTATAGGGGAAAAAAAATAAAGACACAGAATTTTATTCAGGAATAACTGACATGTAATAAATACATATATTTATTTATGTAAAACTTTCATTGATTGAGGCTCTGTGATTTACAATACTGTTAATGGCGGTTTCCCAGGTACATAATTCCAGCATCTCACCAGTGAACCCACCTTCCTCTCCCAACACTCCCATTGCATTGCCGTTGGCCCTTTGTTGCTATCTGGCTGTGGATCTTTAAGTCCCACATCTGAGAGATATCTTTGTATTTGCCCCTTTCTTTCTAACTTCACTCAGTGTGATATGCTCCAGTTCCATCTGTGTCGCAGATTTCATGATTTTGTTCTTTTTTAGAGCTGCATAGTATTTCGTTGTTAAACACATGCATGTATGTATGTATGTATGTATTTATTTATTTTGGGCCACAACCAGCAGTGATCAGAACATACTCCTGGCTCTGGCTCTGAGCTCAGGGATCACTACTGGCAGGGTTAAGGGACCATATAGGATGTGTGGGTTGGCCACGTCGAGGCGTGAGCCCTATCTGCTGTACTGTCTCTCTGGCCCCTATATACATGTATTTAAAAGTGTATCATTCAGTAAGTCCTAAATGAATAACCTGTGAAACCATTGCTGCCGTGAAAATGATAAGCACAACTTGCACTCCCAAACCTTGTGAGGGCCAGAGGTGGGGTTCGAGGGGTTGACACTCATGCCTTTGCATGTACAAGGCCAAATTCTTCCCCCCACCCCCACACACCACTGGGTGTAGCTGCCACAACACAAACGTTCTATATATGGACATGTGGGATTGAGAACCTCTTTTTTGTCACACAGCGTTATCCCTGGGATGTTTTTCTACATTGCAGATATAGGGTATCCTATATTGCCAAGGCTCTGCTATAGCCCTGAACACTGCTGTGGTTCAGAGGGGCTTTTGCTTCCATAAACAAGTGGTGAGGTCATGCCCAGGGACACAATTGTGTGGCTGGCACGTTCAAACTGCACTTTGAAGACTCCCACTGAACTGCTTCTGTTGAGTGTCACATAGATTCCCTCCCTGCAGTCTGTCTTCCTGTGTCTCAGCTGTGTGCCCACCTGACTTCATCACTTGTCCCTACTCTGCTCTCCAGGAAGGCACGAGGACAGCGGTGTTGCCTGTGTAGTTGCCAAAGGCTTCCTACTTCTGGAGGGCTAGTGCTCTGTCCACCTCAGCCCGAGCCCTGGCCTGTCCCAGGGCCTTCTCCCTACTTCCTCTGGTGCCAGAAATGGCCCCAGCACCACTGGTGCCATGGCTGCCAGGAGGAGAGCTAGTGGCAGGGAACCTCAGTGGTGGTGCAGATTCCAAGCCTCAGGCTGGGACCGGGGGACTCCGGGTAGGTGGGAAAAGAGTGGGTCTGGCCAGGTGGGCAGCACTGCA